AAAGGCATAAAGCTGCTGTGATTGGTTAATGTGAAGGAGTGGTAGCATAAGTTAATTTTTTATTAATTTTAATGAATCACAGAAAAGAAAATGGTCACTCATACACCCTGCCAGCCCGGTAGAGTATCGGGCACCCAAAATTTTAATTAAATATGAAACGAAGTATTTTCAAATTTAATGCTATTATTGCAATAGGAAGTGCATAAGAAAGGATGTTTAATGGAAAGGCGCATCGGAAAAAATTATCTCCAAATAAGGCATCAGTGATAGAACAGTCAGCACAATTATGCTTTTCCCGCACCTAATTTTAACTCATTGGTGCGCATCCAGTAGCTCATTTGGCTCATAACATCACTGTGACTCTTCTTTGCTTACTTACAATTGGAATTGTAATTAAAACACGTAAAGAAGTCTAAGTTCGGGTGAAGCCCAACATTAAATACCCGGCGCACGTATTAGATATAGTTTTTTCTCACCTTTCCGAAAACTACCCTTACATGGTAAGAAGGGATGGTTTTACTACTATTTCAAAGATCATCGATAGTATGCTTAAATTTCGAAATATCGAAGTTTTCGTAATTCTGCAAACTACCGTTATATGGGAGGTAAGCGTGGTTAAAATACATATTTTGTTTTTTTTTTTTATGGTAAAGCTATTGTAGCACACAAGGGCAGTGTATGTATTAGTACCAGAAAAATTTTAGAAATCAGTTGATTTTTTCAATAAAAGATATTTGACCAGCAAAAAAAGCTTTTATCCTAACATAGGACTCCTTTAGTGCACCAATTGTTTTCTTTTTTTTAATTTCCCTCAAGGTTTCCAAAATCTCCAAATATGTACGTATGTATGTAGCAGCAAATAGTCTAAGACAGCTTACCCAAGTTATGGATTGCCACAAAAAAAATATTTTTCCAAAAATAAGCAATAAGACGCAGCTTGCTCAAAAATTTATAGCAATCAAAAGTGATTGGTATAGTTTAAGAGGAAAAAAAAAATGTACGCATAAAGATTTCTTTGACTTTCCTCTGCATATTGGCACATTTTTTCGCCTGAAGGCAGCACAGTTTTAAATTTCCAAAGCTCATCACTTCTAGGCATCTGCCCTGGGTCTCACCAAATGTTAGTCGGCTAAGACGGATCTACATACAAATNTCTTTCATCCTCAGTTTCTCTTTCATCCTTTGAATGAGTTTATTAGCGAAGAAATAAAAAGGTAGAGAAAATACCTTTCAAATGACACCTCCTAAGTCTAAATCAGAAGAGTTTGGGTTCAGTTATTCAAGTTTTTGTTATACCAATCTTAAAAAAAAAGTTAAAAAACAGCATCAAAAATCTCATCATTACGATTCCGTTTAAAATTTTTTTTAATTATTTTTAAATATTTTTCTGCAAATTTTCTAAGCTTAAGCCGTTTTGTCATTTGAGGGGATTTTTTCAAAAAAATCTTTAAGAAACTATTTTTATTCATAAAAAACTCCATTTTTGGAGGTATTTTCAAATCGGTCCAGCTCACTTAAATCTTAATATTTTTCTGAAATATTTTGGTGGACGTCTTAAAATATAATAGATTTTATAATTCCAATGGAAAAATAGTAGCGATTTTTTTTTGTATGGGGAGGGATGCAGTCTAATGTACATATGTATGTATGTAGGTGTTCGATTTTCATTCCACCCTAGCAGAAATAGTCTGAGACAGCTTACCCAAGTTATGGATTGCCACAAAAAAATTACTCTTTTTCCAAACATAAGCAATAAGACGCAGCTTGCTCAAAAATGTATAGCAATCAAAGGTGATTGGTATAGTTTAAGAGGAAAAAAAAATGTACGCATAAAGATTTCTTTGACTTTCATCTGAATATTGGCACATTTTTTCGCCTGAAGGCAGCACAGTTTTAAATTTCCAAAGCCCATCACTTCTAGGCATCTACCCTGGGTCTCACCAAATGTTAGTCGGCTAAGACGGATCTACATACAAATTTGCATGCAGGGACCGCAAATAAAGTTTTTAAAAGATCAAAAAATTTTATCCAGTTCATAAACTACCAAAAAATTGTCAAACTTACCGGCAAAATTCATTGCTAAAATTCGGCTAAAATTTTTGTTTATTTAGCTTTAAAGACTTTTTGAAAAATTAACAAGTAATTTTTAGGCAAAAAACACAACCGACTTTAACTCGCATATAAAAATTTAGGAGTACCGTTCATTTCTTCATGATTCAGATAGATATCCCAATCGGTTGAGGTCGTCCAAAGTTATGCGGTAACATATGTACATAAAAAAAAAAATTTCTCCTTTTTTGAAGTCGGTTAAAAATCAAAAACGGCGGTGCTTTCGGCTCCGAAACGCTTCTGAATAGCGTGCCATATGAACACTTTCATACCGTTCTAGCAATTTGAGAGCTTCGCTTCGCTCGGCTCGGCGCCGCTTTTTGTGTGTACGTACCATAAGGTGTGCGCCAGAAAAAAATTTACCGCAGTTTTTTACTTCCTATTTATTGCGTCAACGTTCTTCGTAGCTTTCCGATCTAGGGCTTTCTGAACAAATGACTCACTGCAACCACATTTTTAACGGCTTTTCTCTGCGAAATATTTGGTTTTTTTTTCAAATGGATGTAAAATTCTAATGCCGAATTTCCACTAGGCGTTGAAATGACAAAAAATTTGAGGAATTTAAAAAATGCCATGTGGAGATGAATTTAATGACTAATTTTTTTACGTAATGACACGAATATTTTTTAATGCCCTACTTTGCCATAAAAATTGTTCTCATTTAATGCCTTGTGGAAATCCAGTATAACTAAACTTCGTCTTTTCTCTCACTTAATACCACTATCCAGGGATGGGCGTTTTTGAATGAATTTTTATTCAAATAAAAAATAAATTTGAGTCAATTCAAAATACTTACGAGTATGTGTAGTAAATGTATTGAAGACAGAATAATTAACCTAATAAGAAACATCAAATTTTCCCACGAAAAAATTGTATACATTGTGCTTGTCCTACTTATCAAACTAATGACGCATACAATGCATTTTGTCGCCACAAGTGTGTCCAAAATATACTATTTAAATACAAATCGTTAAGTTAGAAAATATGTAACTGTGTTTATTTTAATTTGATATAACTAAAAAATCAATAGCTCACTTTGCCTATTAGAAATATTAAAATAAATATACAGTGACGGTCAAAAAAGGATGAATGGTGTTTCGTTTTTAATATCTACAATGTTTTTCCAGCAAAATTTTTTTTTGATATTTTTTTATAAAAATATGATTAAAGCTTTAACAAAGACTATATAAGTAACACTTTTAAACTTTATACAGAATTTAGAAAAATTACACAATTTTGTATCTAAGTTTCGAGCCTTTTAACCAGAACTTTAGGAATTTTTTCGGGTATGCAGTTAAAAGGCTTAAAAAATCTTGGTAAAATAAGTGCAAGTATTGAGCGACTAAAAAATCGCATTGGTTTTTAATAATTCTTTACATGACTGAGATTTTTAGGCGCTTAAAGCTTGCACTTTTTTTTTACCTGTTAACTGCATAACCAAAAAAATTATAAAAATTCTGTTTAAAAAGCTCGAAATTTAGATTAAAAATTTGTGGAATTTTTCTAAATTCTGCATGAAGTGTGAAAGCGTGATTTGTATGATTTTTGCTAAAGCATGAACCATATAATAGAAAAAAAAAATCGAAAAAAAAATGTTAGATAGCTTGAAAAACATTGTAAATATTAAAAACAATACATCATTCAGCCACTATTGCCCGCCACTGTATACATACGCATATTTGTAAAGTATTTTCATTCGGTGTCGTTAACTCGGCAGTAAATATGTTTGACACACTTTTTTTCGAGCAAGTGAGGAACAGTTTTTTTGTTAAGCAGTAGTCCGAAAATCACCAAAAACGTTACAAAAGGCTGGTATCCTATCATTGTAAATAAATGAATATTTAGATATGACAGGAGCTAATGTTTAGTGGTGCGTGAATTGTTTCGCCATTAGGATAAAATCTAATTAAATATTGATGTGCTCTACTTTTTTTTAGTCGATCCATATGGAACTATTTCACACGTAATTATTTTTAATAGTTACCAACAACCGAAAATTTACGTGTCACAAAAGGAAAGAAATTGGAGCAGCACGAACTGCTCATACCATCTAACGATTTATTAAAAAAGTGAGAAGATAGTAGGGATGGTGGGGAGTGGGGAGTGGGGCATTTTTTCTCAAAAAATATCAGAGTAAAATCCAAAAATATATATCATGTATTTTTTTTAGTATCAATTAAAAAATTAACAAAATGTATATTGACAGCCGTATTCTAACAAAGCTTGCCGCTTCGAATATCGAATTTACCCATCCCTAGAAGATAGATTGTAAGATACGGCACTTTATAAAAACCAAATTTCTTCATTGTCGAACTTCTTCAAAACACTGATTTTTAATAAACACTAAAACTAGTCAATGATATAGCAGTTGTTTTTTAATTCCTTTTGGTTCTTAGTGAGTTATCTTGCGACTTGCCTTTCTATATTAATGTAACGATATGTAAGCACTTACTTTCAACTCTTAATTTGTTTTAACGTAACTTTAAGGGCCGTATTTTTTTCGCACATTACTACATGCATATGTACATACATACATATGTATAAGAACATAAACAACTATTTTTTATTGTTCCACTTTTTCTTGTACTAAAATCACGGACGTAGTGTTCCTTACATAACTCACAACAACTCGCTCACATTTATTGTAATTCGACCTGTCTTGCTCTTAGTTACATTACTGCATGCTCGCCTGAATTTATGTATGTAAATATGTACATCTAGTACATACATACCATGCATGCATACCTAATACATACATATATGTATCTAGTAAGTAAATATAATTAAGGTTTATGCCCCTCTGTTTGTCTTTGTTGCCTTTAAAAGCATTAACACCAGTTGCTGTGATAAGTTTCGGTTAAATCGGACATTAGCTAACATTAAATCAGTCAGTTAATGGGACAGTGAAATTGATTGGTGTGTATGGCCATACATACATACATACATACATACATACATACATACATATGTGGCAGTGTTTGTTCTTTATTTGACACACATACAAAGATTAACACACTGCTGATAGGTTATTTGAGGTTTAGAGAATAAAATCGATGAGGTTATTTTAGTTACGACACGAGCGAAAGATTATAAATAATTAAGTTTGAGTCAGACTTTTTTCGAATAAATAAATAATGCATTTTTCCCCGATACACAGCCATATTTGATACTCATTTTGTGCCCATAATTTAAGAACTTAGTATATTCACATGAGTTCAGGTTTACAGAGGTTTTTGAGGTCGCTGAATTCGAATCTGGCATCAAAATAACTAAAAACAAAATGGCTGATCCAATATGGCGCCTAAAAATTAAAAGAAATGTGTTGAATATTTTCTTTCGCCTATGTGGTAAAAATGATTGCCGAGGAGTTCGTGGAGGAGAGGAATGCGCTACTTGCTGTGAAGAAACGAGCTAGATCGGAGTGATGGGCTATGATTTTAAGGGAAGGCCATCGATGTCATTGTCGGATGCTAATATACTTAAATCAATAATAAGCATTTGACATTATTGGCAGGGAGCTTCCAAATGTAAAAATTAATTCAGAAGCATTGAGTGTCCCCGCTTTGTGGGACCCGATTTTTTGTGTCGAAAAGTTACTACGATTGCGGATCACTCACACATTATTATCAGAGCAAGTATACACCTCCGCGGACCGAGCGAATTATTATTTCGCCGTCATACATTTGAATACCAGTGGAAAAAAGAAGGCCTCAAAGTCGTCTAAGTAGCGTGGAGTGGCAAGCAGTGTCGAAAGCCTACTCCAACGCTACTAGAACGGTTCTCTCACAGGTGCGGCTACAAGTAAACCCCCCGAGTTATCGGAGTGTTTTTGGTGTTAACTGCTTCGCTGGAGTTAGGCGGTGCGTAAAGTACCGGAGTAGCAAGGTCTCAAGTGTCTTTCCAACTGGGAAGAGGAGCTTTATCGGTCGCTTAGACTCCCCTTTGTTGTCAGGTGGTCATTGACCATCTTTATGATCCGCTGAAAGCTGAGTACTTACAAAAATTTCCATCCTCTTTCAAATGAGTTTGCAGGCAATAAAAAAAAAATCGAATCTACCTAACTTTTTCTTTATTGAAAACCAGAAATATTCATTATTTTAAGAAACATTTATCTTACGCTCTTCCCCTATTAATTACCACTCCTTTTTACAAATATTTTCTGTACGAATTTAAAATCTAACCATCTTCTTTTTTCTCTCCACTGCAGAGCTATGAAACTTCTGGCATATTTCTGGGTGAATCCACCGACGGCTTCACCACCTTGGCAACACTTCACCACGAGCCGCCACCATCGTACGATGCCGTGGTTGCCATGCAAGAGCAACAACTATTACAACAACAACTTTATCAGCAACGATGCCAACTCTTACAGCAGCAGCAAACGCATTTACAACATAACTCCCCACCACCAGGCTATCGTTCCACGCTCGCCGTCAACGAAATGCCTACCCCAACAACCAGCAACTTGGCCATGGACACGCTGCACAACGACAGCAGCGGCAACCTTAGCGGCAGCTGCAATATCAGCATCAGCGGCAACAGCATCGGTGGCAATAGTTGCAGTAATTTCTTTGCTTGCGGCAAGCCAACAACTGCGCCGACGAATAGCAGATACAGCAGCAACAACGCAACATTTTTAAATATGAAAAAGGCGCTGAATGCACAGTCATGCTGCTCGCTGCAGCGCGCCGAGGTGGAGAATATGTGGAATGCAGCCACAGCTGCCGTAGCCGCACGTGCCTCACACGCTGCCACATCATCGCCGTGCGGTGCCGCCAGCCTGTCCGGCAGCAATGCAGCCGGCGGGAGCAGCAGCAACAGCGGTGGCAGTAACGGCCCGAACCGAAACCACATATCACCTAGTATGTTGCTGGCACGCAAATCGCTGCCACTGCCACTCACGTTGCCCGCGAAATTTACAACGAAAGCATGCGGACGACGTTACTTGCCACACCACAGCACTTACTATCGCCGCGGTTGCCCACTTTGTGGCAAGTTTCGTTACGACGCAGATGAGGCGCTCACGCTGTCGGTAGAAAGTGGGCTGGACGTGCCCACGACATCTACAACTTTACGAGCGGAACGGGTTGCCACAGAGATCGCAGTAGCCGCAGAGGACGCTATTGGTGTGGCAATCAGCAGCAGTGAGCTGAGGTTGGCGAACAGATGTCAGCAGCTAACTGCGATGGACTGCGATAGGACAAAGGGTACCGGTGTGGGACGCCAAGGGGCAGCGGCCGAACAAGTAATGGTTGAGGCAACAGACGAATTGGAAAAGTGTGCGTGCACGGTTGACATTTTGGAGTCGTCTTCAACTGTAATAATTGACAGTGATGCCAACGGCAATCACAACAGCAGCGAGGTAACAGCAAGCGCTAATAACAACGCAGTGAACGCAGTGTCAAAGGAAATGATGATCGATCAGAATGCAAATGGGCAGACAATTACGGAAGAGGACTCTACTGATGTTATTGCTGCCAGCAGACCAAAGGATGCATCAATTAATGTGTTTGTAACATCCTACAGCCATACGATGGAGGCTGTTGCCTCAAATATGCCCGAAGACACTACTTTGGACGCAATTAATGCCAATAGTGGTATAATACGTGTCGACATGAGCAAAATCATCGATCAGACAGGCTTACCCACCTATGAAGCAGCCGCAAAGTTGGAGTCAAGTGGATATGTGTAAAAGTCGGCTGAGCTTTTCGTTTCAAAGCCAAATGTGCTTTATTAGTTTTAGCTGGAAATTTAGTAGTCACTAAAAGTGCATAATATTTACTATTTATCACACACTGTACCAAAAATATGTACTATGTAAATGAAATAAAGCAAAAAAATGTGAGCAAACAAATAGCAGATAGAATTTTTTCCACACGAATATTAAATTTTAAAAGCTCGCCAACGCGAAGGCTATAAATTAGGTGTTATATGTAACACAAGGAAAACTTCTGTTAGAAAATCTTGTGTAACCCTCAGCTCCCCTTATTAACGCTGATAGCCCTTTGTTAGAAGAATTTTTAATAATAAGAATTTAAATATTTTAGTCTCAGTCTGGCCAACGCCGGACAATTAAACATAATGTGCTCCGACATCTCACCTTCAAGACGGCATTACAAGGACAGACTATGAGCCTTCCCCGGCCAGTTCACCGGCGACCTCGTTTCCTGATTCCCAGCACAGTAATCAAATTTCTATCGTTGAAGACTATCCAAATCACTTATTGAGGAGCTTGGAGGTAATCATCTAATTGTTTAAACAATATTATAGAGTGAGATACATACATCCTAAAAGAGACTCTAGGACCGCGGTTGAACTAGTTCGCATTGATACTATAACCGAGAGTAAAGCCAGACTTTAAAGTTTAGTATAGTTGTTAAATGATAGTTTTTTCGAAATATTTGGCCGCCAGACTACAAAGGCATAAGCTGAAATCGGACGGACTATCATACGGTATAGCCATTTTACTAATTTAAGGCTTCAGACCCCAATTTACCACAGAACGAGCACGAGTTCGAATCGAAGTCGTTTCGACGTTAGTCTAGCGAATAAGTCTCGGTGAACTCGAAACGACGGTGAATCGTGGCTCGTGTCAGCTGATACGACCTGTCATATGCTGGGTGGTTTTGCGCACCTCCAACAACCGGATAACTGTGGCCGCTATTGTTTGCGGTTGTTTAGTTAAATATTTATGCATGCAAATGTACTTACAAACATACATATGTATTTACCTCTACACATCGATTTTGTTCGCTGACCACGAAAGAATAAAAGCCAATCAATAAGAAAAAAACGCCCCACTATCAGCCGAGTTTAGAAAAGCACAACCAATAATTGCCGATGCGTTTGACAGACATACATATTGACAAGCGCAAATATGAACGTATAAAAACAAAGCTTTATTCTGTTAAGTGTAGCGTATTGAGGATTAGCGTCGCGCAGCAACAACCACAGCTGTCAACCAAAGATACAGAATAAACAGTTGGGAATATGTGAGTAAATGTGGCACGTGTACGTTCTTTGTCGGTTTACGCGGCAGCTGCGGCACACACTCCACCACAGCAGGTGGCACCGGCTGGAACTGCATATGTAAGGGTACATTAGTATGTAAATATTTATTTATATAAATACAGTGAAAACTCTTATAACCGGACACTCCGGGCTACACAGTTTTTTATTTTCCATATTTTTTTTTTTTGTGCATTTCTGGGAGATCCGCGTCCGCATGCGAGGTGATGAAACCAAAAAACTCACTAAAAAACTTAGTGTCCTCGTCCGGTCAGTGGAGTGTCCGTTTAATGAAGGGCGCATTGTTCTAAAAACGCAAAGTGAAATTTGATTTTAGGACTTCTCTCCGATTAGGGAAGGTGTTTGCGAGTAGAGGTTTACTACGTACAGCCAGCGACAAAAGATAGCACATCAACATTTTTTACCAGTTTTGACTAATTTACTTTTGCCTTTTTTAAGGTTCAAAAACCCTATAAGTTCAAGTTTCAAACTTTGTACAAAAATTCTAAAAATTGCACACACTTTTCATCCTAATTCCAAGTATTTTAATTAGAATTTCTAAATTAATTTTTGGTATGCAGTTTTATAGCTTATTAAAATCTATTACAATGAGGTGACAGTTTGAAGTTGCTAAACAGTCCAATTGATTTTTTTTAATTTTTTCTGATGGTTTTATGCACTTTTTTCCATATAAAAAACTACTTTGTATGGAAGAAAATACTTGAAAATCAACGCGATTCTTTAGCAATTAAAACTAGCACTAGTACTAGAATTTAATAAGCAATAACTCTGCATACCAAAAATTATTCTTGAAATTAAAATTAAAACGCTTGGAATTGGGATGAAAAGATTGTGGAATTTTTTCTAATTTTTTTTTACAAAGTCAGAGATTTGCATTTATATGGCATTTGTTAGATAAAGAACTACATGCATATTCTTTTATTTAAAAATAATCCACATTAAAGAAACAAAAGATAAATAGTCAAACCTGTTCAAAATGTTGACGTGCTACCGTTTTGTCGCGGGCTGTATGTATGTATTTAGTATGTGTGAAGCGTAGTAAGTTGGCCAAGGCGTATGAAGCAGAGCATTGCGTTCTTTTCAAATTATCCAACGCCAATCTGGAGAGTGTGCATGCATACAGTCATGTGAAAAATAATAGCCGCACGATATTTTGACCTGTTTTGGCTTTTTTCTTTTGTTTGTTTAATGTTTATTATACAAATACAGCTCATTGTCTAACAAAAAGCATATATGTATGTACAAATTTCTAACTTTTGTAGAAAAATTGGAAAAATTCAAAAAAAAATACAGTAACAACAAACTTTTACTTGAAACTTGCACATTCTTAAGCTAGAATTTAATACGCAGAATTTAATACGCTATAAAAGACATCAGCGCCACCAGCGGTTTCATTTTTGCAAATCTATGTCCTACTACGTTCCAATTAAATATGTAAAATGTGAAGCAAATCAGAGCATAAATACGGGTTTTCAAAATACCTCGACCCTGGCGCCTCCTAATGAGACCATTTTTGGCAATAATGTATATATTATAAAAAGCAGCATATCGGCCTATAAATAAGTTAGATATAGGACTTTTATTTTTTTTTACGCGGTAGACTTTTCGCCTGAATCGCCCATATATGGTTTTTGTTAAAAATGAGTTGCATTTTTATTAAAAAAAATACTACGAAATAAAGGCTTGTAAAATAGCCGCCAAAGCTGGTCTAAATGTCGTGTCGCTGTTATTTTTCACATGACTATACATACCTGCATACTACATACGTACATACATGCATGCGTGCTGGTGGACTTTCAGTGTAGCAGAGACCACAAATCTAATTCGCTTCATTTGCATGTCAACACCCACACACACACACAAACACACATACAAGAATATGCATGTTTCTGCGCTCTCGTGTGGTTTAATGGCAGAAAATCAGAAAAATATGAATAAATAAATTTCTTTTATACATATATACATATGTATATATTTACACGTTTACGTAGGTACAGACATAAAACCAAGTGCATGAGGGTCAAGCGACTTTGCCGTGCGCCATCGTGACAGGTTGTCCAGTGCCTAATGAATCTACTACGTCTTTTGCAAAGAAAATATGCAAATAGAAAAAAAATCCGAATAAGTGTGCCAAGTGCAGGCAGGGAATCCAGCCTAGCAGCCGAGTGCCCTCAGCAGTCAGCGCTTAGCTTAGCGGGAGGTGTTGGCTACAGACAATTAAATCGACGTCGCAGCGACGACGCCAACACAGCAGGTATTGTACTATATATAACCTTGAAATGTAGGCCGTGTGCGCATGATTGCATGCCTTTCTGTACGCTTAGGTATGTATGTATGTAGATATGGCGTTGAGAAAGTTACAGCTGCAACTGCAGCCAGCGGTTACAGCGCATGCATATTTGTAGCATGCATACATGCAGTTTTAGTTATCCTTTCAAGGATAATAAGGTACTATGCATAATGTAGAATACAATATGGGCAACATAGTAGCATTAAGGTAACATTAAATGGTTTTCTTTCTTTGTTTTGTGTGCAAAAGTAGCTGTTGTAGAAGGATGAAGTGAGCAACGGATACAGTCTACCCAAACAATGCCAAGTGGCTGTGCTAAATAACCTGAATTACATTTGTGCGCAATATTTCGCTGCACCGACGACACTGCCAATCACTCATACCACACGTACAACCCACTGAGCGGTTGGGAGAAGAAAAGGGATTCAGGAGTATTGTGGCGTGGCAGACGCGATGCATACAATATTTTGCCACAGTCGGTATTATGCGGATTAATGAAATATGTACGATGGGTCATTTCACTTAAATAATTAACGCGTACATGTGTACATTAAGGTAGATCAGCCTCCTTACGAAAAAAATTACGTAAATTGATTAAAATAGCAACGTAATTGATTAAAACTGGTGGTAAAGATTTTTGCTGTTAGGCGTGACTGATAGCTGGCGTAAAAGCGAATATATATGTGACAAAGGGTGATAGCTTAAAAGTGGTACCCCTGCTTTTACTGAATATGGCGAATCCAGAGAGAAAAACCAAATGATACCTGGAATGAATGGACGCAAAGTCAAACAGCGGAGGCGCTGGCCGAAATCAATTTTTATGCCAGTGCAACGAACGAAAGGAACTTTGAGCCAAACGCAAGCCGCAAGACAATCTAACCAGCTTAGACTATGTACTGCCATTATAACCAGACATCCACAGACGAAGAAGAACTCCTATTCTCATCTCAACTATTTAAGGAGGCTAGCGCCGGTGAACAGAAAAATGATCGCATATTTACTCTCCAGAGTCGCCAGTGAATAGGATGCCAAAAGGTTAGCTCTGCTACCATTGGCAAAAGTCACCGCCAGGAACTGGTGTCACTTCGCTCAAAAAACCAAGGATATTTTCGCTGAAAATCGTACAGTCGCCAAGGAACTATCCTAAAACCATGTGGAGCCTTGGGCAGCTGCGGGTTATTCTCGACAAAATACAAGGAGCGACGACGCAGGGCTATGTGAAGCCCAGTGGTTAGTGGTTGCACTTTTGGATACTGTTTGTATCCAATGGAATGAGTGTGAACTATCCAAATCTCAAAGACAACGGTTGGACGGAGAAAAGTCTAACGACCTTCTGAAAATCAACAGTTCGTCAACGATGTCCTTGCATTTCTTCTCCACGCACACAACCGTAATTGCCAACAAGGCACAGAGCCGGAACAAGGTCCTCAAGTCGCTGGCCTGTAGAAATAGTCATTGAAACGTTGCTTGAAAACAAACAAGGCAATTGTCCCGCCGGTTCCGAACCATACTGCGACTTGCATAACATCAATGGGATGACTCCCAATTTAATGTTCAGATGCAGATCTTCCTCTCAGGAGGAACCTACGGATGCGATCCAGACACAATTTACACAACCACT